TGTGTGTGTGTGTGTGTGTGTGTGTGTGTGTGTGTGTGTGTGTGTGCACGTTGTACTTTTTGCCAAGAGACAGAATAACAGAGAGGGGTCTAGAGGGGGAAAAGAGTGAAAAAGAAAAGTAGATGGGAGGGGGCTTACTCACTCCACCACAGTGGGCGGGTTCCGGCAGCTGGCTATAGCCAATTGACTTCCACAACTGGGTCACATGACAGCTCCAATAATGAGTGAGAGAACCAGAGAGAGAGAGGGAGCAGGGGAGAGAGCGGCACATCCAGTTCAGCCTCAGTGTGTGTTTGACTTCAGTGTGGAGACACACAGACACACACCTGGAGTTGCAGAGCGCAAAACGGCAACAGCACAAGACAACAAAGGAAAGAGAGCGAGACAGCCGGAGTGGTAGAGATTACCTCTTAGACACCTGAGACAGCTGCAGGCTTGGAAACAAAGAAAGGGGAGAGAATAGAGAGACAGCATGTCTTCTCTCTCTGATCAGCAGCCTGGCTCTCCTTTCTCAGAGTACAGTGAGCTGTGCAAGGTGCCGTCCCTGTCGCCCAGCGTGCCAGCTCAGAGCTGGGATTGGCAGCACCCCACAGCCAAGGACACGGGTACCCCGAGGGGCTTGGTGGTAGGCGACAGACCTATGGCTTCAGACGGACTCACAGATGAAGACAAGCTTTGCTTCTTTGAGCGTCCAGACAGAGGTGGCATGGACGCAGAGCTGAAGGTGCCGGTCAGAGTTGGGGGCATGTCGGGAAGCACTTCGATGGGCAATGCTTCCCTGGGCAGTGCAGGGGACAGCCCGGACAGCCCTCTTTCCTCCTCGCCATCCCCCTCCCCAGCCTCCCCAGGAAGACTGCCCTCTGCCATGGGATCTGGTGGCAGGGTCCCTCTACCACCAGTTCCTGGATCTCCAGCCAGGTGTATGGAGCTGCCATCGCCTACTAGTGCAGTGCCTCCCCACTCAGTAGGAGCCTCATTGACAGAGGCTTCTCCAGTAGATGGAGACTCTCCGTCCGATCACTGGAACAGCTCATGTTTTGCCGAATCAAGCACAAAAGTTGCCATGCCCCAGGTGGCCCCCAACTACTGCGTCATAGGAGTAGTCAGAGACAACCACTTGGAGAGGGCGGATGAGAATGTGGCTGGAGCCGGTGTAGCCTCGGGAGCTCAACAGTTGTCAAAGGGCTCCTCAGTGGACAACAGTGAGGAGGAGATGGAAGAAGAGGAGGAGTTGGCGCCCTGTTTTATTGGGCGAGCTGAGCAGCAGAGGAAGGCCATGAGGCGAGCAATGTCTGAATGTTCCCACCTGTCGGTACCCACCAGTCTACAGCTCCCTGATAAATACCCCTGTGGCGACGAGGCAGGGCTGGACCAGGTGGCGTCACCTTTAAGCTGTCTTCGTCGCTCACCGCACTCCATGAAACGCTCGCTAACTGTTGCCGAAGATCAGCCCCCTCCCCCCACGCTCTCAGCAGCTGGTGCCACACATATCGACCTACGGCAATCCCCACCCGAACCCCGCCTCTGCCTCTCCCCATTTCCTCCTTTGAGGGATGGCAGCGCTGGCTTCCCACTCTCTCCATTAGAGGCCCCAGTGGAGGGTTTTGGGATGGAGAAAGAGGCAGGGGGCATTGTGCTTCCAGTGCCCCTCAGTCCCAAGGGGTTCAGCAGCTTGAACGCTGGATCTGCTGAAGCTCTAAGCTCACACAGTGATGAGAAAGCTGCTAATTCTAACAAGACTGTAGAGTTTGATGGGAATAAAGAGGATGCTGAACTGAACACTGGTGCAGATTTAACCTTTAGAGTTGGAAACATATCAACAAAGGCACAGGACATTGATGACGATGATGACCTTGACACTGGTGTCTATAGCAGCCTCTGCCTGAACTCCAGCACTAACCCCTTCATGACAGTGGATGGTAGGTGGACACCAGTCTTGTCTTTTAATACCAGTTTTAAAAGACCAGTGGCAGATCTGTCAAATGAGAAAACTTAGTTCTGTTAAACTGGTGCTATGTTAATACAGTGTCATGGATGTAAACGTCTAATATATAGCTATATAGGTTTTTTGGCTATCTGTTCATTGTTGTCATTTTCAAAGAGGTAAAGTATGCATGGCTGGAGAATGCAGCAGCTGAAATGGAGAGTAGAAAACAAGCAAGAAAATTAGCAGGTTGACATCTTGATCAAGTTGTCTTCTGTCAGACTGCCGTGAATCAGACAGCATGGCTTCCTTGAATGTTACTGTAGTAGAAGGATCTGAGCTCGTGAATGGCTCCGGGGGAAGCTGCCGAGCCAGACGAATAGGGAGAGTGCCAGACGGGAAAGAGATGGGGAGCAACAAAAGAGAACGAAAAGCTGAGAAAAGTCGACAGCAGTGGGAGCAGCTACCCCTCGCACCCCACATGGGCTCATTAAAATTCCACGATGGTAGCATCTGTCTGGTTGTGTTGGTCAAGCACACAGTGCGTATTTTAGCTACAATTGTTGTGCGTGGAGTGAGTGAAGAAAAGAAATGAGTGTGTCAGTGCTTGAAACAACAGGTATCGAGCTTTGAATTTCCCCCGTCTGGCTACCTGTACGTGTAAGTGGATGTGCTCGTGCTAATGCAGCACAATGAGCTTGCAGGGAGAGGTTGTGTAGCAGCGTTCCCTCCGGCTGACACTGGGATTCGGGGTCGGGATATAGCACAGCTTGTTAAAACTGATGGTTGTTCTGTCTTTGTCCAGACTCATTTCCTCTCGTTCTCTGTGCTTCCATCACGCTCTCCATCTCGTTCTAGCGCTTTCTCCTCTGTTTCTGTTACTTTGAATGCTCATTAGATTCCCGGTGAGGGCCGGCACAGCCAAGATGGCTGAAAGCAGGTCACCGTCATGTCCAAAGATGACCGTCACCAAAACGGGGTCACAAACTTTGAAACTTGGACCATCAGGGTGGGGCGTTTAACAAGTCTCTCCTTTGCTTTTTCTGCTTTTTCTCTCTGTGGCTTCTTCTTCTGCTCTCTGCTGCTGCTGGCCCAGAGAGTGGCAGAGGCTTCCAGCCAGGCCAATGTAGGCCAGTAATGTTTATTTCTCTGCACCCCCTGAATTCCAGAGTCATTTAGCTACAGGTTGTGTGTTGTATGCATCTGTTTGTTTTGGTTTACCAAGGTCATGGAGATATCTAAACTTAGAAAAATCGCTTTACTTTCAAAGATTCTTTTTGTTTTTTGTGATTCTGTATTTCAGGGAAGTGCATGAATCTCTATTGTATTAACCGCAAATCTGCATTGAGCTGCAGCTTGGTCATAGCTCCATCTCTGTGGAGGGGTCATCGGGGTGACGATGAACAGATTTCATACGGAAAAAGATGAAAGGGGGTTGGGAAAGGGAACAGGCAACAAGGCAAAATGCATGGTGACAGTGATACAAACGAGTGAGTTCAGCCCTGACGAAGAACAGGAAGTAAAGGATTTAGACAGTAAGGTCTGGGATGCGAGGATGGGGAAGATGTATAGAATATGAAGATGGGAAGGAATTTAAAAAGAAGAAAGATTTATTTTTTGATCCCCTTGTGGCAGAAATATGGCCCCAAGCATCGAGCAAATGGTTCCATGGAGTCTCCAGTGCAACTCGACCCGATCATGTTAAAAGCATGGCGCTAAAAGCATTTACAGGAAAAGCACGTCTTTGATAACACAGACTCACACCCCTCCCCCAGAGATCAGATAGCTTTTATTATGTCGTTTTTATTAGTAGTTGTTATTGTTGCTGCTTTTGGACAACCTCAGAAGCTTAGTGTCCAAAGAAACTGAGCTCAGTCTTACAGCATCTCAGTTTGGAAAATCAATCATGCAGTTCAAAATACATAACTACAACTTTAACTTGAACCAATTAGTGGTGCTAAGTGCTGGAGGCGCAAACATGGCCACATTTATAAAGGCTTTTCTGAAAGTACATTATACAGTTGCATTGAACATTACAATTCAATTTTATTTATACAGCACAAAATCACAGCAACACCTCAAGGTGCTTTATATTGTGAGGTAGACCCTACAATAATACATACAGAGAAAAACTCAACAAGCACTTTGGCGACAGTGGGAAGGAAAAACTCCCTTTTAACAGGAAGAAACCTCCAGCAGAACCAGGCTCAGGGAGGGGCGGGGCCATCTGCTGCCACCGGTTGGGGTGGTTGTTACATAATGATGTCAGCTGGCAGTGAGCCAAAAGCTCTGAATGATGTCAGTGAGAGTACAGAAGCCCCTCCTACTTCCTGTTCAAATGTTCTTTTGTAAGGGGCATCCAATCTGGAGAAAGCTGTCACAACTCAGTCAAAACACAAACATTGTGTCCAAATTTAGTATAATTTTTCTTTTACCAGGATAAAAAAGAAACAATAACAAAGAAACCCGTTTTCACATTTAGTAATACCGTCGTGACCGTAGTGTTGTTGCTACCATGTGCTTTTTGTTTAGTTTGGTTATTTTACCCCTTCTTTTAATGTCAGTGACCTAGACCTCGATGCAATAACTGAAGAAGGAAGTAATCTAAGATTTTCAAATTAATACCCCCATATGGAAAAGATATATATAAATCTTATAAAGTTTGTATGTGTCTTGTGTGAAACTTGTATGAAAAGCACACAAGAGTGAAAACAGATATAAGATCCCTAGAAAAATGATATAAATGAAACTTGTATGTTTGGATAAGCCTTCTATGATTCACTATATGAAGCAAGCTAAAGCTGATGCAAGTCTTTCACAAGCTTTTTCTGTTTCATTTCCATATGGGCCAGGAGGCTGGGGGTAGCACAGGTGGCCACCAGCATTTATTTATTTATTTATTGTTAAATGAGGCAGTAGTGACGATATTTAGACCAGAGGATGGAGTGCTAAATTCTTTATTAGCATTAGCATTGACTCCACTTTCACAGGTGGTGGTTAGAGGAACTGCAGTTGTTCCTCTTCCGTGTCATATGTGCATAAACAAGCAAACTTTTGTATGCCATAAGAAATGATTTCAAGCAGGTCCTTGACTGCAAGTGACAGGATGTGAGAGCAACCTCATTTATGCCAACAGTTAACCTACGCTAATGTAACACGCAGTGGTTATGCTGCAAGCCTGTAAAGGAGTTAAAGCCAAGTGCACACAGTGTTCATTGATTAAGTGGTGTTAGCCTGGACTCTTGTGAGGCCCAAATGTTGCAGAGTAACACAGAGGACAGTAAATCACAAAGTCTGTTTTCTGTGCTGCTACAACTCCACAGCGTGTTTTCTACCAAAAGGCCGAACACAACACTAAAACCATTGTTGACGATCTCTCAGCCACTGAGCTTGTGCTGAGTAGTGAGGTGGAGCAGGGAGTTTTAATGAGGTGGCATCTGAAAGAGCTGATTTACATAATCCACTTGAGGAGCAAAAGGACGGCTTTACACATTAATCCTGAATCGTTTATTAATGGCTGAAGCCTCGGTTATTAACACAATTTCATCCTGAGCCAAAGATTGATTACGGAGTGTAAAATCGAAAGCATCTTATCTTTAACTTCTGAAGGTAAGAAACCTTCATGAACCTTTATGAACCTTCATGAACCGTGCATGTTAGGTCAGTATCCAAAGTCCAAAGAGCCCGGTGGAAATTTTCCCAGTAAGGCAATTTGTGCATAAAAATGCCATGCAGATAAGTCCCAGTTAGTGCTTTCCACGTGTCAGACGTTTCTGTTTTTACTCTTCTCTTTGAAATTCAGACACTGACTCGTTTTAAGAGACTGGAGTGGGCATATTTTATCATATTAATAAGGCCAGAGGAAAAAGGTTTGAGTCGAGTCAGTTCCTTTCAGGAGAGTCTAAGCTTAACGGCCCTTAATGAGCTATAAGTGTTATCATTATGTTAATGAAACCTTCAGATAAATTGGCTCACTGCACCCAGATGCTCATTGTTCTGTTGTCCCGAGCCGTGGTTCATACAAGAGTAAAAACAAACTGCGGGCATCCTGGTACCTCTGCAGCGTTGCTAATAAAGCAGGTTGTTGCAAGCTGGGGCCGTGCAACGTAGGAAAAACTCACTGTTCTACTGCAGGAGCTGGGCCTGATACACAATGCAGCGTCCTACCATACAGCACGCATCTGTGAAACCGAAACAAGCACAGCAGTTAAAGGAGCCAAAATGGCCGCCCCGTTACCGTTGTTTTTTTTGTTTTGGTTTGTTTTTCCTCATTTTTCAGGTCAGTTCAGTTTTATCGAGCTAAATCACAACAACAGTCTGCACGAGCACAGAAAAGAACGAGAACACTTCGGGTACTGAAGTAGACTGAAATCCTACAACCATGCTTTTCTGTGTCCTGTCAGCACTTCTGTCTGTGCCTACAGTCATTTGTATCCAGCAGTGTTCTGTCTGCTGTGGCGACAACAGTGAAATAGTGACTAACTATGGCACAATCAGCAGAAATAAATGAAATCGACTGAGGCCTCCTGTGGGAGAGTCTCACACAGTGGGCTGTGGGAGCGTGGGCTGGGAGTCACCTCCTGCTGGCTGATTAAATGAAGCCATTTTCACCACAGCTGTGAGACGGATCACATTTCTGCTCTAATTGGGGGCTCGGGTTGATCTCCTGAGTTGCTCGTTGTTTGCTGTATAGAAAATAGACTTTGGTTTGTTCTTCTCTTGTTATCATAGCTCAGCTTTCAGTTGTGTATAATCACCTCTTTACGTTCACTGGCTCTGCTGTGTGCAGTCCCAGGCCTGAGTAGTTGCGTGTCGTGTGAACTTTCCCTGTCAGTCTGTTCACCCCAAAGCTGAACAGCCTGTGTTTGTTGAGTGCACTATGTGTCCTTAATTTAACCCCTTAGCAGTCCAATTAGTCCCCTAAACCATCCAATGTACCGTGGGCGGTACGTCCGACTGCTAACAGGTTAAGTCCGTATTTTGGGGTTTTCCCTTTTTTTGAGGAGACTATTTTGCTTTTCCGGCACCAAAACTCTTTCTTGGACTCCACTAGATTACATCGCCTAGCTTTGCATGATTCCCAGACTACGTCCACACGTACTCGGGTATTTTTGAAAACACAGATTTTTCTATGCGTTTGCACCTTTCGTCCACACGTAAACGGCGTTTTTGGTCACTGAAAACGGAGATTTTTAAAAACTCCGGCCAGGGTGGATATTTTTGAAAACTCCGTTTTTGCATTTTTGTGTGGACGAGGAAAACGGAGAAAACGCAG